TTTACACCTATAAATCTCATAGACACCCATCACCCCAGACCGCGAGTTCCTAGTTAGCGGTCGGCACTACATGTACGTATATACATACATGGCGCTTCAAATCCGTACCAGGAGTCCTACTGGTGAGGGGTCACGTCTGGTCGTCAAAGGTTTCGGATAGAACTTTCTTCTTCATTGTCAATGGCGGATTCAGAGGGTTTGTTTGGGCTTCAGAAAAAAAACCACCCTGAGAATTTTCTTTAAAAATCATGAAATTTCACCATTTTCCTCAATTTTTCCGCATATGGAACCCCCCTCCAAAAGAAATTTGGAAACACACCCAGATAGGTCTCTGGATCCGCGACTGATGGTCATATCATTCTCTTACAAGAACATCAGTCCTCAACCATGGATACATCAAACCAAACAGAATTCAGAAAACTCGAAATGTCGTGCTTCGTTACTTTATACACATGTGTTGGCTGCTGGCCAACTTTGAAAATTGGCAATTTTTGTATGAGAAAGCAACATGTTCAATACAGATTGCATATTCAATCAATTGATCATTAAGCAATATTGCTATTGTGATCGATTAATAGTCTTGTCTTCACTTAACAAGCCATCGGAAGCTTAATGTGTCTTCATCTTTAGAATGTTTTAAGCCTCAATGTTAGTTCACTATTGTTTCAATGCATAATTGTGATGCAACTTTTAGGCAAATCCAAATTACAATTTAATTGGTCTTCCTTAAATTTTAAAATCCCTATTGATCCTATTGAATAAAAAGTTAGATTATGCACTTCAAAGTTCGTCACGTAAATGATTTTTAACATTTATGAACAATTTGTAAAATAAATTCAATAATGAAGAGCAAGCATTGATTAGTTCAAGATGAAGCTGTTTTTCACAATTATTTTTTGCGATATTCAATCATAAGAAGCATTTTCCCGTAGATCGGCTGGGCTTTATACCATATACAAATGATAACATTTTGTTGTCATACATATGATAAATAAATACAAAGAAAATAAATACTGCTGTTATCACTTTATTAAGAATATAATAAATAACAATGATATCACAATCGTGTTATATTTGTATAGATGCAAACCCTACTCTTTAAACACTTCCACCCTAAGACACTTCACCCCCTTTTGACAAAGACTTAATGCAGTTGCGGTTTATCTTTTGCTAAAAAGTAACAAATGACCTCAAAAAACTTGTTCTTCTAAGCAAACATAGTTAGACCAAATAGCTATACTACAGAGTATGTTTGTCCCCAAAAAATATACCTTTCCTGTTGTCTTCGCAAATGTCTTCTCCATTTTGAAAACTAACCGATAAAGATCACACTCGCCTTATTTACTCAAACCTGAAGCTCACCCACAAAAATTCCATTCTTCCAAGAACTCACTAAGATTACTTCATCTCTTAGAAAACCCACTCATAAATAATTCGTCCTTCAAAACGGTAATGTCCAACCATTGGTAGATATCGTGGATGAGAAGAATTATATTAAAGCACGCTATATACAGAAATATTAAGTGCATGAATTTCTTTCTCATTCTCGATGGTTACCTATGGTCAAACTATTTCGCCTCAAAATTTCCTATCCGAAACAAATCCACATATTTAGACCCTTTCCGACAAATCTCATCCCTAATTTCCCATCTCAAATGTTTTATCGTGAAGAATACTTATAAATAACGTCTCACTAAAGATCCTTCTCTAATGTTCGGTCCTTACGGCTCCACTCGAATGGCCCTATCGACCCTGTCAGATCATGTTCGGTCCTTACGTACACGGCTCCACTCGAATGGCCCTATCCGAATGGCCTCGCAATAAATAAGACTTCATCCTTAGGCCCAAAATAAATATCTCATCCCAACAACCTTATTCCAAAGTCCCTGTCCTAAAGTTTGTGTCCTAAAGGCCTATTGGTCAATAGTATATTCTCCGTTTCAAAAGCCCAACCCTTATGATCCGGTCCGCACGCTCACATCCGGGTCAACAAAAGTGATTA